TATTAGCAATAGTCAAGAGGGTGCCTGAACTGTCCTACTCCAGTAATCAGAACAGTGAATACCCTAACTGTCATCATAGAGCCTCCATGCAGTAACTGATGGAAGCAGAGGCAGATATCCACAACCAAGGCCAGGCCAAACTCCAGGAGTCCAAACACTGAGAGAGAGGAGGGATTCTATGAGCAAGGAACATTGAGAACACGATGGAAAAACATACAGAGATAACTAGCCAAACTAGAGGAAACACATGAACTGTGGACCAATAGCTGAGGAGCCCCCATGGGACTGGACTAAGCCCTCTGGATAGGCGAAACTGTTGTATAGCTTGAACTGGCTAGGGGGCCCCCAGGCAGTGTGATTGGGATCCATGCCTGGTGCATAAGCAGGCTTTTTGGAACTCAGTGCCTATGGTGGGACACCTTGTGCAGACTTAGTGCAGGGAGAGGGGCTTGGACCTGCCTCAATGAATGTACCAGGCTATGCTGACGCCCCATGGGAGACCTTGCCTTGGAGGAGGTGGGAATTGGTTGTGGGTTGGGAGGAAGGCTTGGGAGTGGGAGGAGGGAGTATGGGGAAATCTGTGGTTGGTATGTAAAATGAAAAGAAAAATTTATAATAATAAAAATAAAATGAAATTCTGAAAACAAAAAATTAAATGTTACTTCAAAAGTATTTACACATTAAAAAAACCAAAATTTAAATATAATCTAATTGAATCTTGTTATCCCATGTTTAGTTGATATCCTTTGGGGCCTGCTCTTTTCTCAAGGAAAACTGAAGAGCAGTGGATCAGGTGAAGCGAGCAGGTGAGGGGCAACTGGGAGGAGTGGAGGGAGGGTAGGATGCAGTCAGGATGTAGTGTACAAAAGAAGAATAAATATAAAGAAAAATGAAAAAAATAAATATAAATATGAAGCAGCAAATCTAAATCCCAGGACCCAAAACTAACAAACTGGAAATCAACTTGTCCAATCTCAACAACTAGCAGCAATGATCTGCAGTATTTCAGTAGTCCATAAAACAGAGGGAAGGCACACTTTCAAGCACAGTTCATTAATATTATTAATATTATTAATATTATTACCCCAATTTCCAAACCATATAAGACATTTCAAAAAGATCCTAGTATCAGCCAATATCCTTGACTGCCAGATTGGAAAAAACCTGAATGAGAATAATTGATAGCTCACCTCAAATTCAACACCACATTAATAAGACCAGACTTCATGATCAAGACGTCTTTAACCAGGAACACTCAAGATTCGTACACAGACACAAATTGCCAAAGGGCATAGCATACATACCACACTGAGGTAAGTCTTAATCAGACATCAGTGGAATGGAATGCCTAATTCAGGAAAAACTTGGAATTAGTGAAAGTGTTACTATAAACATGCCAGTTCCACAAACACAAGTGTCACACTTTGTTCACTCTAGTACATGAGCAGGCAAGGGGATAGCCTTTGTATAATGGGTCCAATTCAATGGGACTTGTCCCTTTGACAAAGTACTTGTCCAATTCCATGGGTCGGGAAGTAAAATGTAGCAGATAAATATGATCAAAATAGAGTACAGCCAGATATCAGTCATGATCAAATTCCTCATCCTATGCATTTAATATATAACAATAAATTTGTAAAATACACAAGAACACTGCCAAAAATGACAAAGAAAAGAAGGTGATAGAAGGAAAATAAGTTATGATGAAGAAAAGGAATTATAGGAAAAAAAATACTACACAAACCAATAAAGTAAATAAAGAAATAATTAAATACAATTGAGAAAATCCAAAACTGAGAACTTGGGAATCAAACTCACTATCTCCAGATCTAACAGGTCAGGGAAAAGGTCAAGTATATGGGAAACAACAGAGTCCAACTGCTCTCGCACCAACCAACAGATTTTCTGAAGTACAGACAAAACCCAGCCTCAGGCAGTGCCTTTTCATTGGCTAATATCTAGCATACATCACAAGGATTCCGTGTGATGTCACATACAATGGACCAATCAAGGCTCAGAAAAAAACCACAGTGATTTTTTAAAAATTATTTTCTGTTAAATTATTAATTTTTTTTCTATTCATGTTCTTGTTCCCAAGGAAATGCCCTTAGCAGAGAGAGCTGCTATCCTTCCCAACCCCACTCCTGTTACTTTCCCAGAAGCCAAGACAGATTCATTGCTGTCACACAGTCACACATTGAACATATCTCTCCCACCCAACCTGTGAATATAATCAATGAGCTCTTCAAATAGCCTAAATTCCAGATCCCATCCTCTGTCATGTAGCATAGGTCTCATATTAACCAAGCCTGCTTCTTGATGTTGAAGCAACTCCTTTCCCCTCAGACACCATGAAGTTAATGGAGACACACTTCGTCTGGTGGGAAGAAAACTCCTTCAGACACCCACAGAGTGTCCAGACCATCTTTACTAATGACCTTTTGTCTGAAAGGAAGATCTGTGCATGCATCACTGTCCTTCTGTAAGCTCTGGCCATTCCCTCCTTCCTCTGATAAAAAATAAAAATAAATCCAAGAAGGAGGGAAATAATAAGTCAAAGGGAAAATTAAAGTCTAGGAAACAAAACTAGACAAACACTCTGAAAGTATGAGTATCAAGAAAGACTCATACAGTGACCAGGACAATTCACTGATGAATTCTATCATCTCAACATAAAACAGCAATGTTCTCCAGATATTTCAGTATCCTATAAGTCTGAGTGAAAGAACATTTTCAAATATTTTCTCATCAAAAATGCATTACCCTTATTCTCACAACAAGTAAATAAAACGTAAAAGGGGGCTAGTGTCAGGCAATATCCTGGACTAACAGGTTATAAAAATCCTTAATGAGAGATAGCTCAGACTAAATTCAACAACACATTAAGACCATACTTCAAGATCACCCAGGAACATTAGGATTCGACCACACATACAAATTGACACAAAGCAGAACACACACACAACACTGAGGTAAGACCTATAATCGGATATCAAAGGAATGAAATGCCTTTTTAAGGAAAACATTTGGAACTAGAAAAAATGTTACTTCAAATGTTCCAGTTCCACAAACAACAGTGTCACATTTTGTTTTCTAGGGATTCTGAACAAGCAGAGAGAAGAA